AGAGAGACTATCCCCCTGTTGCTTCAGCAGTGTTTTAACTTTTACCTATCTAAACATCATTCTATATATGTAAAATGGCAGTTTATCATACATGTAGGGTATTTTTCTATTAAGTTGATAATTGGTTATTGTTTGACTCTCTGAAGGCTATTTTCATGTATTAATTTTATGTTTGAAATTGCTAAATCTTCTTAATTGAGTCTCAAGGATTTTTCTGGCATACTAATTATATCACATGCATGCAAATATTTGTAATTCTGATGTCTTTGAGTTCTTCTCTTGTGTAATTATGTTTGCCATCTCCCTGTCTGTACCTCAGCTCTTTGTCAAATAGTAGAGCTAGCAGGTATCTTTGCCTTGTGCCGTATACTTATAGCATTTATACTATAGCATTTATTTATAATTATAGCATTTCCTCATTAAGAGGCTCATTTTGAGACTTAATTACAGTTATTTAATCAACCAACAAAATATGGAAGACTTACTTTATGTAAGTTATAAACATTATGTTAAGCAAAATGTATCTGCATTGTTTCTTGACTTGAAGGAAAATGGAAGCCACCTGTGAGAGTTATCAAGTTGTCAACTTGATGGACAGGATCTAGGATTATCTAGCAGACCAGTCTGGGCCGGCCTCCGGGGATTATCCATATCAGCATAACTGACGTGTGGAACCCACCTTGACTTTGAGGAGCAACATCCTATGAGGCTGGGTTCCTGGACTGAGTTACAATCTTGTGGAATACCAGAATTCGGTGCTCTTTGCTTCCTGGCTAAATGCCTCCCACTCCTGTCAGCAGGACTATCCTGCCAAGGCAGACTGGACCCTCAGACTGTGAGCCACAGCAAACCCTTCCTTCAAGTTTCTTCTTCTTGATTATTTTGTAATAGCAATGAGAAAGGTAGCTAATACACCTACTCTAAAATCTTTCTCCTTGACCTCCCAAACATAAAAATAACGAGGAAAGCGAATACAACCATATATGACCCTACATCTCACAGTACCACCAGACAGTACCACCAGACAGTACCGTGGCCTTCACATCATGTGGCCACCAAGACATAAACTCTAGTTAAAGGTGCTCCTTATGCAAACTGAGGACAGGGGTAGAGGGAGCTTAGCCAGTACCAGAAGAACAGATCAGAGTGCTTGGCAAACACAAAACATCCTCCTGGTTCCCTTGTTTGTTTGTTTATTTGTTTGTGGGCTCTGTGTTTCATTTTGTTTGTTTGTTTTGTCTTCTTTTTCCCCTTATTGTTTTTCTGTTTGGGGTGTTTTGTTTTTTTTGTCTATTTTTTGAGAAAGACAGAGTGTGTAGTTAGGTGGGTAGAGAGGTGGGGAGAATCTGGGAGGAATTAGTGGAAGGGAAAACATAATAAAAATACTTTGTGAAATTTTTTTTTTAAAAAATAAAATGCCACAGTTTTGAAAAAAAGGAAGAAAAAAACAGTGATTCTGAAGACTTGGAACACAAATAGAATGTCCCTTTGGCCCTAGTAAGAAATACCCAATACAAAGTTCCAAGTGTTTAACGTAGATTCGGATGCCCTTGTTATAGCTTACCTTAGATGTTCAGGACAGATGGTGATGGGGGAGCTGCTTTGGGACAAGCATCAAGTACACAAGCAGGGTGTGGCTTCCCTCAGATGCATCCCAAAGCCAAAGAAGGAAATAAGGGAAAATTTAGGATCCAGTATGAAGGAAGGAGAATTACAGCCAGCACCTCCTCCATGAGTGGGGTCAATAAATGAAACTGCACAGAAAACAGAGCTGTCAGAAGGGGGAGCTCTCAAGCTAGGAACCTGGCTTACAAGATAAGGCAGGCACATCTATACAAATAGTCACAGACCTGACAATACTTGACAAGTATTACTCCTTACTGGAGTAATATCTTCAAGCAGCATTCAAGACTAATGAAAACCAACTTGGATCAGAAATATTAAAATTAAAAAGAAAAAGAAGAAATGAGCACTGATTGAATTCAAAAAACAAAAAATTCAAGATTATATTAGGAATGAAATCTGAATTGCAGGATGTCTAAGGGAGGGTACGTTTATATAATACTGGAGTGGGTGAGACTGAAGTGGAGCCAGCAGAGGGGAGTGGGGAGCTCTAGTGGACGAGGGTGGGCCAGCGTAGGGAGAGAACGAGGGACCGAGAAGACAATCAAAACAACGACCCAGACTAATACCAGAATTAGAATAGAAAAAAAGACTAAATATGAAAAAAAAATCTTGATTCTTCATCTTGAAAGGGCCTATAAGGTACCAGGGACTATTAGCCCAGAAAAGTCCAAGGAACAGCTTAATAAAACTTAAAATAACAGACCAAAACAAAAAAGTCTTAAGAGCTCCAGACAGAAAGATAAGCTAACAAAAGCATGTGCATTAAACTTATAAAATTGTCACAGATAGATTGCAAAGACATGGCACATAAAGCAACATTCAGTACTCTGAAGGTGCACAAGCCAAGGTCATGTATCCATTTGTCTTCTATGCATCAAGGCTATAATAAACAGTGAGGAAGTTCAAGGATTCAGAGGGTAGTGTGCACATGTGCCATTTTCGTGCATGTCCTACAGGGAGCGTTCATCTCATTCTGGCTGAGTAGGACGGATGGCTGCCATGGATGGATGAGGATGTCACGTACGTAGACGCAGCACTGTACAGATGCAGCACTGTAAATAGAGCTATGTGTGATGGTCAGAGTTTGTTGTGAAAAAACAGAACCGACCGAGGTAACAAAGAGTGAGGATTTACTGTAGGAGCTGACCTAGCTACGTAATTATAGAGCTGGCTGTCCAGTCTACAGCAGGCTGTTGCTTCTGTTCAGTGTCTCCGTGGCAGATGGAGCCGTGGATATGGAAAGGCAAAGAGAAGGACAGGCTAGAACCCTTGTAGGCTCTGCTTTATTTAATGAGTGACTAGCAAGTGCCCTTTATTGTGGAGCTAACACATTCCTGGACCGTAGGATAGAGAAGCTGCAGTGCAGGCAGCAGTTCTTGTTCCCTGGTGTTCCTTCCCTCTGAGCCGCCGAGGCTTTGTGTGTCCTCTGTGTTTAGCCTGGTTCACTCCTTGCAGCTGTGTCTCATATGGGATATAATCCAGCCTCCCCTCTGCAGAGTTACTCAATGTGAGTAATGTACAGTGTTGTGTATACTAGGGCACATCCCTCATGTTTCCCAGTATAACGTTGTGAAGTGTGATGTTGCTATTTTTTTTTTTGAAATTTAGAGGGTTTTTTAAAAATAGTAGTTAAATTAGGTGAGAGTTCACTGTGTACTGAGTACTATGTTAAATTCCTTACACAGCTTATCCCTTAACTCACTTAACCTAGGGAGTCATTCAGAATGCTTTCCTCATCTCACAAGTAAGAAAACTGATAAAAGGTAAGTAATTTGACCAAAGTCTCAGATCCTTCCCACTTCTGCCACTCCCACCCGTCCACTTCCCAGGTGTCTGTCTGGTCCTCACGACTTTCCAAGATATCCTTGGTTGCTTAGTTGTTGCTTCTCAGCAATTTGGTTATGAGCTGTCAAGACATTTTTTTCCTCTATTGGGTCTTAGATGCTGTGCTGGCCTTGAGTTATGTATACTTCTACCTTAACCAGAAGTAGAAGATGAGGCATTATTCAAATGTTTGATTTCTTCTCTTTTCCCTCAGCATCCCGAGTGTGTCCTTTCTCTGAGTTACCTCTGTGCTCCTGGCCTTTTCATCTGCCACCTACTCGCCAGTGAGCTCATTCAGTTTCTCTGTTTCAAGTAGGTGCTTTCAGCTCTGACATCTTTATTTAGGTTTTCTTTTACAGTCTTATCTCTTTGCTTATGTTTCCTGTCTTTTCATGTATTTCATTTGTATTTTTTTCTTTTACTTCATGGAACACAGCTTAAGTCTCTGCTGATTAAAATTATTTTGGCATCAATATCTTATTTATTTTTTATTTCCTTTGATGATAAATCATATACCCTTCTCTGTGGTATTTGTTTAAGGCCAGATCTTACTGAGGTTCTGTATGACTGGGAACTGGTTTACTATTCTTTGTGAAACAGTAGTTTGGGACTATATAAAAGACATTGGAATTTTTGTGATATGTGGAACTTGGGTTCTATTGAAGTCCTGATATATAAATTTAGTTTTGTCTTAGTAGACATTCAGCACAGTTACTTCTGATTATAAGTCCCCATTTAAAAAAATATACTTATTTTTAATATATGTGTACACATATTTTGCCTGCATGCCTGTGTGTGTGCGCGCGTGCATGCGTGTGCATGTATGTGCATGTATGTGCGCACCACATGGATCCAGTGCTTCCAAGACCAGAAGAGAGCGCTGAATACTCTGAACCTAGAGTTGCAGATGGTTGTGAGCCACCACACAAGTGCCAGGAAACCAACTTATGTCCTCTGTGAGAGGAGCAAGCCTCTAACCACTGTGCCACCCCTCCAGCCCCACTCCTCCTGCTCTCTCTCTACTCAGTAACTCAGTTCTCAGTGCTCAGCATTTGCTGTGCTTTGTTGGTCTTGCCTTAGGTCTGTGTAGTTTAGAGACATGTGAGTTGAGACATGAGTATTTTCACTATTTTCTCATGCTCTCCAGCCTCCCTAGTTCTCTGACCAGAATGCAATGGGGTTTCAGTTGGAGTATTAGCCACTCGCGTGGCTTCAGCCGACAGCAGAGCTTCTGCCTTGGCAACACTGGCCCTACCCCTCTGTGGTGAGCCTCCCTTAGTTGACTCCTTCCACTTTCTTTAAAAGCTTTACCTGAAAACATAGAGCTCTAACCCTGCACATGGATCTGATCCTGTGTGTTCATATGTTAAAATCAAGCTGATCTGAGATTTAGATTGATTAGTTTTGTATCTACATGTTTAAGTACAATTAAACACATTAGTGTAGTTGTTTTTTAATCTATAGAATTTTTGTATTAATGAGCAAGCTCTAATGTGTGGATGGTTATTTTCAAATTTTCATAATGTTTAACATACACTTTCCCTTTTCAGATGGCCTTCTGATTGTCGGTGTTCACTCAGCTAAGTTTCCAAATGAAAAGGTCCTGAGCAATATCAAGAGTGCTATCCTTCGATACAACATCACCCACCCTGTGGTTAATGACACAGATGCCAGCCTTTGGCAGGAGCTTGAAGTCTCTTGTTGGCCAACACTGGTCATACTGGGACCCCGTGGAAACCTGCTGTTTTCTTTGATTGGAGAGGGAAACAAAGATAAACTATTTTCATATACATCTATCGCTTTAAAGTATTACAAAGACAAGGGACAGATCAGAGATGGAAGAATTGGAATAAAACTCTTTAAAGAGTCTCTGCCACCTTCACCATTGCTGTTCCCTGGCAAAGTAGCGACAGACCATGCTACTGGCCGACTGGTGGTAGCAGACACCGGGCACCACAGGATCTTGGTCGTCCAGAAGAGTGGGCAGATTCAGTACAGCATTGGAGGTAAGGTTTGCCACTGGTCATGCTACTTATTGATCAGTGTGTACTATATTCTTCAGTTTAAAAATAGCTCAAGTAAACATGCAAAGGCAGCCTGGATTGCCTTGTGACTTTATCAGCAAGTTATTTTGTTATTTAGTCTGTGTGTCTGAGTTAACCTCTCTGTCCTCTTCAGAACAAACAAAACCCAGAAGCTTTGTGTCAAAAGGAGGAACTCACTAAGTTATATAATTTGTTAGGTATATTTGTGTGTTCCATCCTGTTTTTTAATAAAAAGTGTTTCATTTATTTGTTCATGGAAATATATACCAAGATTTTAGGTCAATGACATTTTAAATGAAAGTTTCATGTTTTCTTCTCTAACAAAATATGTCCACATAATTTTCAAGACAAGAACTCGGGAGTGACCAAGAAACTTGATATTTATACTATAAAGCAAACAGGCAAGGGTTTGTATATCCTTTTACTTTTCTCTTGTTTCATCCTTAGGAAGTAAATGGTAGGTCTAGACCCCTCCCCTTTCCATGCAAACCCAGGCCATCTCGTTTCCTAGCTCCATGCCTTAGATGAGAACATGCCTCTAGTTTCTATCTGCACGATCAGTAAAATCTCCCAAGTACATTCACACTAATCTGTTTATCGGGCTGAACTAACACACAACAAGTTAGTCAGAGGGAAAGCCACCCCTTATAACCAGTCCCATGTGATGGTAGGACACACTTTACATATGGAAGTAGATAACCACAGTCCTAAGCCATTGCTCATTGTATGTGCTAAGACGTTCTCATCTCTTGTGTCATTGTTTATGGTTTTTATTAGAGCATGTGTTGTTTTGTACAGCTTGTTTTTGTTGTTTGGGCTACTTGGTATTTTCCGTTTAACAGTTATGACAATTGTTACTTGAAAAATGTCTTGAATTTGACTGGTTTTGGTTTTGTGGTTTTGGTGTGTGGTATATCTACATGCTTAGGTGAGTCTGTGCTAACACAGGCTGTACTAACGTGTGCTAGCACGTGCATAGAAGCCGAGGTTGGCATCGGCATTCCTCGATTGCCCTCCGCCTTCCCTTTTGAAACAGTCTTTCAGTAACCCTGAGCCTGTTGGTTTGGCCAGGCTTGCCGACCAACCAGCTCCAGAGACTTGCTTTGCCCCTGTAGATGCAACACATTGTGTTGTCGTTATTCTTACTGTTTTAAGACAAGGTCTAACCGTGAGGTTCTAGGTGGCCTGGAACTCTCTATGTAGACCAGACTGGCCTCAACTCACATAGGTCTGCCTTCCGGGAGTAAGGGCGTGTACTGCCATGCTTGGCTTTCTGTGTATGCTGGCAATCCAAACTCAGATCCGTGTGATTGTACAACAGGCACGGTGCCAGCTAAACCACCTTCCCACCCAGATGTTAATATGCGATGCATGCAAAGTGACGTAGATCAGTGCTCATCTTTTTAACAGGGTCTTATATGCACTTCTGTAACAGTCTGTGTAGCTCAGGCTGCTCTGGTACTCACGGAAATCCACCTGCTTCTGCCTCTTGAGCTGGGATTAAAGAAACGTATGTGCCACTGTAACCAGCCCAGCAATGTTCTTTCTTAACCAGAACCATCAGCAAATGGTATTCTCAAATGTGCCTATAAGAATACTGCCAACTCTTAACATACTCTGGTGGTTTTTAGACAGTTTCTGTCTCTAGCTCAGGCTGGCCTGGACCTCACTGTATCCCAGACTCATTTTGAATTCACAGCAATCTTCCTGCCTTCAGTGTGCTGAGATTACAAGCATATGCCACCACATCCACCTCATATTATTTGTTATATTTGTTTGTTGTGTGTTGGGGAGTAGAAGGGTGTTTGTTTGTCCTGGCATAGAAGCAGGGGACAGCTCTTAGGAGTCAGCTCTTTCCTTCCATCCTTGTGGGTTAGGGAGTCAGACTCCGGTTGTCAGGCTTGGAAGCAAGTTCTTTTACTTGTAGAGCTAACTTACTAGTCTCCAGCTAAGTTTTAAAAAAGAATTCTTTGGTCACATATTTTCAAGAACTACTGATTTCATGTGACTTAACAGATTTCGTTGGTGGTAGTATGGTATTGTCAGGTTTCTTAGGCATGTTACTCTGGCAATGTCTCATGGATACTCAGGTTGCACTGCTCAGCATTTTCAGATCTGAAGTACCATAGAGCTCTTCCGCCATCCCTTATTCTTTTCTGCAGAGCCCTTAATGTCAGCAACAACAATCGTACTAATAGTAATGGTAGCAAACCACATCCTGGCTTCATTCTAAGCACACTGCCTGCATTTCCTTATCTTTATTCCTCTAACACTATGAATTGGTGTATTATTAGGCATTATTAGTTCTATTTTACAGAAGTAAAACTAAGACATAAAACACATACCCAGACCACCAACCAGAGAAAGTTAGAGCTGGGAGTTAGTGGGACTTGCATGTGTCCCCTAGCCACTAGGGAATCGTCTCTCTTCATACTGTGTAAGAAAGTGGATGTTGCAGAGCCATATGAGTGCTGATTCCGAGGCCGGGCAGCAGCAGTTGTGGATTACTGTGTCAGACTGGGCCTACTTGGAGCTGGGGTGTTCAAAACTTGAGAGGCATTCATTAGGCCAGGGCACGCTGCCTGTCTTAAAGTATGCATGGCTTGTTGCATGACTTAGTGACCATGAGACATCAGGCAGGAAGGAGTGTCACTCTGGGCTTCTTGACTCAAGAAGACAGGATGGCTCTCAAGGTGTAGGACTTTTTACAGCAGTTCGAGTGTAAGTAGGGAAGGAATGTATGTATAGTTTCGTTTTATAGTCAAATGAGTCTGTTGTCCAAAATCTTTTTTTAAAAAATTATCCCTTTGGGGGCTAGAGAGCTGGCTTAGTGGTTAAGAGCACTTGTTCCTTCAGGGGCCTGGGTTCCATTCCCAGCACCCATGTGGCAATTGACAAGTCTCTGTAATTCCAGCTCCAGGGGCTCTGATGGTGTCTTCTGGCCTCTGTGGAATCAGCACACACGGTGCTTATCATACATGCACGCAGGCAACACACACATAAATCAAATTTGAAAAATTATCATTTTAGCTGCTGAAAGGCTAAAGTTATTTTTAACTTTCTAGTATAGATAGCAGGTATTTAAAAAGCTTTTAAAATTATTTTCTGCTACATATGCTACTGAAGTGTACTAAGAACTATAACAGTATAAGCCCTGTCATTAGCCAAAATAGATAGAATCAGAGAAATAGAGGAAAATAGCAAATGTTTTCATTTTAAAATTTTTAATGACTTAATTTTTTTTATGTGTATGATGTTTTGCCTGCTGGCATGTCTGTGCACTCACTGTATGTGTGTAGTGTAGTGACCTCAAAGGCCAGAAGAGGGCATTGTATCCTTCAGGGACTAGTGTTTGTGAGCTGCTATGTGGGTGCTGGGGGTTGAATTCAGTCCTCTAGAAAAGGAGTCAGCACTCAGAACTATGAGCCATCTGTCCAGTCCCACATTTTCATTTTAAAATAGAAATACTGAAGTACTGTGTTATTTATTTTTAAAAATCCCAGTATTAAATACAAATTTTAAAATCGTTTATTTAGAAGATATTACTTTGAAGTTGCTTTTTTAATGTGAAAAAAAAATCTCATAACTGTCTTGTCTTTTAGGACCTAATCCTGGAAGGAAAGATGGGATGTTTTCAGAGTCGTCTTTTAATTCTCCACAGGGTGTAGCTATAGCAGGTAATACCATCTATGTGGCCGACACTGAAAACCACCTTATAAGAAAGGTAATCTTCATTTTAAGTTCAAGTTTTAATAGTTCTAGTCAAGATACTCTGATGTTTATCAGGAGTCCAGGGTCATTCTTGGTTACATGCAAGTTAGAGGCCAGGCTGGGCTGGATGAGACCTGGACTCAGGAAGAAGAAAGGGTAGGAGGGAGGGAGGAAGGAATTAAGATTTCAGAGAAATTCTGTCAATATAATCTTATAAAAATATGGACTTCAAAGACTATTTCCAGAGAATTTTTTTAAACAAATGGAATTTATTAAACAGTGTTTTGCATGCTTCATTTATTCTGTCTTAGTCACAGGAATGATATGACTGTCATATTCCATTATAGATAAACCTAGTTATCTTAAATATTTCCTACCAATACTGATTTTGACTATAGTCTACTGATCATTAAATTATTCTAAATTTGGACAATGACTAATCAAAGTGCATATAATCTCTCTTGTTAGGTAATCACAGTACGTTCAATACTTCACGTTCATTCAATATTAACATTTATCTTTATTTGACAAAGTTATCACATAGTACACATATAATAGCAAGTATGTATCTAGAGTATGTAATGAAATCTTAGCAAAGGCATTGTGTTTTCTTTGCTTCTGAGTAGGATCTGGCCTGTTAGATGTCCAATAGATATTTATTAAGTAAGTATATTACAAGTTTTATATATATATATATATATATATATATATATATATATATATAGTGAAACTTTTTGTGTGAATTAATTTTTATAAATATATATATTGTGACTTAAAAAATTAAAGAGGATGTGGGTTTTTTTGTTGTTGTTGTTTATTTGTCTTGGGAACTTCCTAGACACTTAAACTGTTGTCAAGTTAGGGAGGACACTTACTTGGACACTAAGCCCTATTTTATTCAGAACTTTGTTAACATTACTGTGTGTAGGTTACAGAAAAATGGTGTGGTTTTAGTTACTGAGCTCAAAGTTGGTTCTTCTGAATAATTTTTAAAATTTAATTTAATTTTTCTTTAACTTACTCACTTTACATCCTGCTCACTGCCCCCTTCCTGGCCACCCCCTTCCACAATGCTTCCCCCACCCCCTATCTCCCCTCCCATTCTCCTCTGAGTGGGTGGGGGGGTCCCCCTGGATATACCCCGACCCTGGCACCTCAAGTCTCTGTGAGGCTAGGCTCTTCCTCTCCCACTGAGGCCAGGCAAGATAGCCCAGCTACAAGAACAAATTCCACTTACAGGCAACAGCTTGCTTTTGGGAGAGCATCCCCTCACCCCCCATCCCCTGGTCCAGTTGTTTGGGACCCACATGAAGTCCAAGCTGCACGTCTGCTACATATGTATAGACCTAGGTCCAGCCCGTGTATGTTCTTTGCTTGGTGGTTCAGTCTCTGAGATCCCAAGGCTCCAGGTTAGTTGACTCAATTGGTCTTACTATGGAATTCCTATCTCTTGGAACCTGCAATCCTTCCTCCTGTTCTTCCATAAGAGTCCCCAAGCTCCATCCATTGTTTGGCTGTGGGTCTGAATCTGTCCAAGTCAGCTGCTGGGTAGAGCCTCTCAGAGGATAACGTGTTCCTGTGTGCAAACATAACAGAGTATCATTAATAGTGTCAGGGATTGGTGCTTGCCCATGGGATGGGTCTCAAGTTGGGCCAGTTATTGGTTGGACATTCCCTCAGTCTCTGCTCCCCAAGCAAGTAAAAGATCTGTATGACAAGAATTTTAAGTCCCTGAAGAAAAAAATTGAAGAAGATATCAAAAAGTGGAAAGATCGCCCGTGCTCAGGGATAGGTAGGATTAACATAGTGAAAATGGCCATCTTATCAAAAGCAGTCTACAGATTCAGTGCAATTCCCATCAAAATTCCAACCCAATTTTTTATAGACCTTGAAAGAGCAATTCTCAATTTCATATGGAAAAACAAAAAACCTAGGATAGCCAGAACAATCTTGAACTATAAAGAACTTTGGGAGGAATCACTATCCCTGACCTCAAGCTGTACTGCAGAGCAATAGTGATAAAAACTGCTTTGTATTGGTACAGAAACAGAAACATTGATCAATGGAATCAAATCGAAAACCCAGAAACAAACCCACACACCTGTGGACACTTGAGTTTTGATAAACGAACAAACAAAGCATCTTTAACAAATGGTGCTGGTCTAACTGCATCTCTGTGTGTAGAAGAGTGAAAATTGATCCATATTTATTACCCTGCACAAGACTCAAGGCCACCTAGATCAAGAACTTCAACATAAAACTGGATACAGTATATCTCATAAAAGACAAAGTGGGAAATAGCCTTAAACGCATTGGTACAGGAGACCTGAGCAGAACACCAATGGCTCAGGCTCTAAGATCAACAATTGATAAGTGGGACCTCATAAAATTTCAAAGCTTCTATAAGGCAAAAGACACTGTCAATAGGACAAAATGGCAGCCCATAAACTGGGAAAGTATCTTCACCAACCCTACATCTGACAGAGGGCTAATATGCAAAATTTCCAAAAAGTCAAGAAATTAGACAACAACCCAAATAACCCAATTTAAAAATGGGGTACAGAGCAAAGCAGAGAATTCTCAACAGAGGAATCTCAAATGGCTGAAAAGAACTTAAAGACATGTTCAAAGTCCTTAGTCATCGGGAAAAGGCAAATCAAAACAACTCTGAGATTCCACTTTCCACCCATCAGAATGGCAAGATCAAAAACTCAAGTGACAGGCACATGCTGGCAAGGATGGATCCTCCATTGCTGGTGGGAGTGCAAACTTGTACAGTCAGTTTGGTGGTTTCTCAGAAAACTGGAAATCATTTTACCTCAAGATCCAGCTATAACACTCCTAGGCATGTACCCAAAAGATGCTGCAACATCCCAGAAAGACACTTGCTCAACTGTGTTCATAGAAGACTTATTTGTAATAGCCAGAAACTATAAACAACCTAGATGTCCCTCAACTGAAGAATGGATAAGAATAATTTTCTTTGGAAGTTATTTCTGTAATTGTCAGTGTCGTAGATGTCTGATGATTGACTGAGGTAGTGAGATATCAACATTCAGAAGTGCTTGGCCTTTATGACTTATGTCCTGTTCTCCACCTTCACAACTTGTGGTTTTCCAGTATTGGACAAGGTGTTGCATTCAAATGCCTATTTTTTGAAGTAGTGTAACCACACAAATACTGAGTTTCCTACAGTCAGAGTCCATTCTGAGTGACATGACTTAAAGCGTATTGTTTCTTCCTTCTTTTTTTTCATAGAAGTAGTTACTGTATTTTATTTTGAAGACCTTGTTAGCAGAGGTCTAAGCTCATCACTCTCTTATATTCACACACAAAAACATCATTGTTGCATGTACACCCTTTCTTTGTCTAGAATAGTTTATTAACCTACAGATTCTTTATGTCTCCCTTTCCTCACGCCCCTTGCCACACTCCCTCACATGAGCCAACTGTAGATAACCATTTCAGTCTGCTTATCTGCATAAAACTCTAAAGACTCACTGTCCTGTGCACATGATTATCTTAACGACTTCACTGTCGTACATAACAGAAAGCTCACCCATCTATGTGTAGGACTCACTAGTTTTCAGTTTATCAGGCTTTGCAATCATAAATTGTGTTTAGAATATTTCAGCTCCAAAATAAGAATTGTCACACAAAGATAATTACCTTTCCCATTTCCAGGTATTCAATTGCCTATTGATAGGCCCTTACTGGGACTTTCACACAAATAGAGAAGAATCCTGTAATAGATGGTTTCTTCTTCAATCTCACTTGATATTTCAAGGTCCTCCTTGAGGTAGTATGCGGGTAATTTATTCCTTTCTACTACTAGGAAATAAGAGGGATAGATTGAATATGTGCATGACAAGTCCTCTATAACTAACCGTCTAAGACGTTGTGTTTCAAATACTCTGTATGTTCTGTTGGAATTATTCATATATTGAAAGCAAAAGTAACATGCATTGACTGAAAGATGTACTGAATCTTTTATAGATAGACCTAGAAGCTGAGAAGGTGACCACTGTAGCTGGAGTTGGTGTTCAAGGAACAGACACAGAAGGGGGCGAGGAGGGAGACAAGCAGCCCATCAGCTCCCCATGGGATGTTGTGCTTGGGACCTCAGGTATGGAGCTGAACAGCAAGTGCCAGTACATGCTACTGATAAAAATAAGACCTTTAAAATGTTTTTTTCTGCTGGACAGTGTTTGCACATGCCTTTAATCCCACTCTGAAGGCAAAGGCAGTCAGATTTCTGGGTTTGAGGTCATCCTGGTCTACAAAGCGAGTTCCAGGACTGCTAGAGCTACACAGAGAAACTCTGTTTCAAAAAACCCAAAACAAACAAAAAACCAAACCAAGGGGGTGGGGGGAAGAAAGAGAGAAAGAGAGAAAGAAAGGAAGAAAGAAAAGGAAAAATACTTTTCTAATTTTTAATTCAGTATATTCTTGAAATGTTTAATTATGTAGCTTGTTTATATATTTGTACTTATGGCTTGGAGTTTGTTGGTTGTTTAGAGCAGAGACAACCATAATATATACAAATAGAATGCATTATATATAATGTTACATTATATTTTATAAAAAAAAAATAAAAATGACTGGTTAGCTGGCTCACTCATGGATTGGTACTCAGTATAGACTAAACAATTTCTCCTGACCTGCATCTTCCAATTGATATAGTTCTAAATCTTCTTAAACTGACAGGATTGTGGTTTCAGAAACTACAAAGACTATTCATGAGCTACATACCACTTAATATCCTTCTTACTCTGGGTGAAAAAGAAACAGATGTGAAAGACAGAGCTACCTTATCTTTTTCACCCTTAAAAAAAATGTTCAAATATAGAAATAGGATAGCATCTTTTGATTAATTAAAAGCTATTACCCAAAAGAATTAGGCAGATGCTGATAACAAATGAGACATGATATCTTTGTGCCATATAGCCCATATAAACATCCTAAAAGAAACACCAGTGTTCTTATCAGTGGTCCTCAGTGCTCAGGTGGTTTTATCTGTATCTAATATCAGACATAGAAAAAGTAGAGGCCATGGGAACTAGAATGTGAAGCTAAACGGTCTGCGTGCTCTCCTTGGCATATTCTGACAATTTCACATTGAGAGCTCATGCTCTGCTATGCTAGCCTCATCTCTGAAGACAGGGGAAACGATGCTTTATATGTAAGATTCATGGAGTCTAAGAATAAAACAGTAACACAGCTCACACAAGCAAAAGTTCAAAGTCAGGAGACAGGGATCTATACTTCACAGTATTCCCGTGAGGCTGTGGAAACGATACAGATCAATCCAGAGCCAGAGATGCTAGCTTACAGCATTTCTATCAAAGTTTGCTTTGCTTAAAATTACTGTGTACTTTACTGAGTTAGATATGCATAATGGTGAAGGAATATTTAAGGTTTCATCCAGGCTAAAAGCTTCCCAGATACTCCTCATGGTATTGCTGGCTGTTTATCTTTGTATTAAGAATACATCTCTCTTACTCCCTAAGAGAAATTCTAACCTTATTGACAAGTGTTCTTAGGTTCTAAGTCAAGTGCTCTGCTTTAAAGAGGGACATCTTTAGTAACCCTGTTTTCAGCTCATATCTCTGCATTTAACCTTATTCTGTGAACATCTTGTGGTGGTTTGAATGAGAAGGACTTCATAAAGTCATACCTGAATACTTGGGTCCTTGTGGGTAGAACTGTTTGGGAAGGATTAGGAGGTGTGGCCTTGGAGGAGGTGTCATTGAGGGTAGGGTTTGGGGTTTCAAACGCCCATGCCCTTCCTACTTAGTGCTCACCCTGTCTCTGTGTGTCTCTGTGCCTCTCTCTGTCTCTGCCTCTCCCCCCTCCCTCCTGCTTAAGGATCAGATTTAAATACTCAGTTACTGATTCAGCAGCATGCCTGTCTGCCTCTGCTGTGTGCCTGCTATGATGATTGTGAACTTTTGTCTTCTGAAACTGTAAGCAAGGCCACCTTCCCCCAGTAAATTCTTTCTTTTAAGCTACTTTGGTCACGGTGCCTCTTCACAGCAATAGAAAAGTAAAAAAGACATATTGTCAACTCCAAAAAATGGGCAAGAGAAGTAGTCTTGAATCCACTTAGTGTTTGCTAGCTCAGAGAGTGTGGTTTGAATGCCGCTTAAAGGCCTGCTCTCAGTGGTCATGCTGTCTCTAGAGTTATCTGTAAACAAGCTAATCTGGGTTATCTGTACTAAGTCTTTGGTATGTAGGCTTTATAAAATGGCTATAAATTACTGAGTAGCCCCAGAAATTTTATTTAACATTTGGGACAATTGTTTGGATTTTCATAAGACTTTCAAAGTGATAAGTTACCCAAAACATCTTCATAACTAAAGCTTTGAATTACTTTAGAGTCCTAGCCTATATTAATGTATAATTCTTTGATAACTGGATTATAGGATTTGATTAATTGTTCTTGCTAAATTCTTATGTGCTTGATGCCACTTAAAATATCTCTACTGACAAATATATATATAATATTCATTTACATTTATATGTGCATATTTATTTCATATTACTTATAAAGTCAAAATACAGCCCTCTGGGAGACTTTTTGATGTTTGAGTTTTTTACTTACAAATGACATCTGATAATGTACTAGAAAATTTTTTTCTTGCTCTTTGTAATATGAATAGCTATACTGTTTTCCTAAAGATCAGGTTGGTTTTTTTTTTTTCTTTTTCTTTTTCAGATTTCATTTAAGGTCCGGAGTATTTTGACTATGATTCCTGTTTGTGTTGTTGGATTGAACCCTAGGGAATTTAGAGACAAATTTATCCTCAACAAAATGTGATGTCACATGACCCATTTTGTAATATTAGAATGCTCAAACCTTTCTTTTGTATTCTTACTGGTCTTTAACTTTCTTATTCTAAGTTTTATGCCATTAAGATTGTTTTGTTGTATGCTCCAGGGATCATTTGTGAAACTGAAGTAGTTGGAATTTAGTAGGCTTCCTCTTTGCTGAGCCAGTTGAGCCTAATTGTCGATCTAGCCCAGTGGTTCTCAACTTTCCTAAAGCTGCGTGCGGCCCTTTAATAAGTTCCCTAACCATAGAATTATTTCATTGCTACTGTAATTTTGCTGTTGTTACAAATCTTAATGAAATACCTGATATGCAGAATATCAGATGTATGACCTCCAAAGGGGTCACGACCAACAGGTTGAGAACTGCTAATCTAGATAGTCCAGAAAAAATTGATAACATAAAATATCCATAAGTATTTTAAGAAATATAAATGTACATTTCAAAGTCAGTTTCTTTGTTTTGTTGTTGTTGGGTATTAAGACCCAGTTTCACCAGGTACTTACATGTAGCCTAAGCTCCCTTAGCATGGGGTGCTTGTGTTTGTAGCTGTGTACCACCACACCCAACTAGCCAGACTCCTGGTGTAAAAATAGGGCTTTTTCTTCAAGCAGTTCCTACTGGCTTTCTTTTTTTCACCACCTCAGATAAATCATTTTTATTTTCTCAAAGCATAGGGAGAATTTTTGAATACATGCAAAGAAATAAATATGAGGGCTGAGAATAATATTTCCACATGTTCAACAATCGACTTCATACTTGCCTTTATTGTATCTTCTTTTAAAGTATTCTATTCAAAGTAGGAACAATCTTTCCGTTCCCATTTCAGTACTGTGTATATTTAAATATAGGATTGTGTGACCGGCTAGAGCAGATGTTACAGTAAATACCTGACAGTTTCAGCGCCCAGGAAAGTGATTCTCCTTAAGCTTTTTTTTTCTAACGTTTTAAAAATTTTATAAAACTTTGTTAAATTCTGTCATAATTCATGAAAGTGAGAAGACAGAATTATTAGGAAGAAAATGTGAAAAATGGGTTGATTTGTAATAGCTTTAAATAGTAGATTGTGTCCAGTGTCCAGTCAATGGAACACAGCTACCCAGAACTATAGACAAATATCAGGAGTGTAAGAAAGGAACCTCCATTGAATTTTGGGTAGAAGTTAAGATACATGAAGCATTGGGAGATACTTTCACACAGATTTAAACTTAAAAAGAAAGAAATGAAAAAGATAAAATTCTACACTAGTGACTTCTGAAAAGAGAGGGCACATGCATCCTAGAGGTGTGCTTAGAGTCTTCAGATGATGCTGTTTCTCAGGTTTGTACATGCACGTGCATATAGGATTTAGTTAGCTACATTTTCTCTATCACATGTATTTAGGGAAGTAAAAAGAATGGCAAGTAACAGAGATGATAACTGCTAAATATGTACTTGACCAAGAATTTTAGCTTAGGGAAAAACAGACTTAAGGGGCTAGTCAGATGGCTCAGCAGTTAAGAGCACTGGGTACTCTTCCAGAGGTTCTGAGTTCAATTCCCAGCAACCACATGCTGTCTCATAACCCTCTATAAAAAGAATTTCATACCCACTTCTAGCACAAAGCATTCATACAGAAAAAGAAAAGAAATAGTCTGAAGAATGCTTAGTTATTCTAGATATATTTGTAATTTGTAAATATGTATATTTTTCAATAGCACCTGTATATTTGACTTAATTTATACAATTGCTACAATCAAGTATAAATAATTAGCACAGTGGATTTTACAAAAGTAAATTTCATCTTATCACTTTAAATACGATGATTTCTCTGTGAGATAGTGGTGTCTGTGATGGATTCCTCTTTTACCAACTTTTTTACCATGTTTCTAAAGGATGTTTCTCTTCTTTCTTGATTCTGCTGATGCCAGATAATAGCCTGTAGAGTGTAGTGTCGTAGAGGTCAGAGCCTGCCAATCCTTAGTGCTTCAGACGGTCCCTGTTCAGAGTCAGTTCTAGAAAGGATACTGTTCTTAAATCCCATTAACCTTCTTTGACTCTGTAATCAGCATTTTCCCTAAATACAAACTCCACTTTTTTTACATCACCTTTAATGGTTGGAATCCAGCATGAATGTGCTCAGCTGATAGTTCGTAGACAAAATGTATTTTTACACTTACATGGTTAGATGTATCTATCACATGACATCTATAAAATACAAGTAAATATTTTTATTTTAAATGTAATCCATTGATGCAGACATATTTAAAGGGATTTATGCATTGTGAACTATATACTTTTATTTTGAAAAACAG